TAAAAAGTTTTAAATATCCCGGTTTCATGCCATTATTTATATAATCATTAATTTTTATCCTTATTTAGGATAGTGGATATTAGCCTGTGTCAGTATGTCCACAGTCTTGACAATAGAAATATCATATTATTGTGATTACTTTAAAAGAGATGTATCTTTAACATATATTTTAAACCATAGATATAATGGAAACATCATAATATTGCCATTACTTTTATATCTTTAAGAAAGATCTAAAAAATATAGTTTTTAAATATCTAGGTTAACATATTCTGAGAATGATATTAGTTGAAGAATATGATATATGTACTTGATTATGAAGAGTATGGGGGCGCAGCCGGGTGGCTCGGGTGGCTAGAGTGTGAGCTCTGAGCAACATGGTTACCAGTTCAATTCCCACATGGGCCAGTGAGCTGCCCCCTCCGGAACTAAATTGAAGACAACTTGAGCTGAGCTGCTGCTGAGCTGCCAGTGAGCAGCCGCTGGGCGGCTGGATGGCTCAGTTGGTTAGAGCACATGCTCTTAATAAGGTTGCTGGTCCAACTCCCTCATGGGATGGTGGGCTGCGCCCCGCCCCTGCAACTAGATTGAAAAAACAGCGACTGGACTTGGAGCTGAGCTGCACTCTTCATAACTAAGATTAAAGGACAACAACTTGACTTGTACCTGATGGGACCTGGGGAAAACACACTGTTTCCCAATAAAGTTAAAAAAAAGAAAAGACTATTGGGGAAAAGTAATAACAGTCTCATTTGACTAAAAATGACTATTTTTTGAGACCTAGGTTTGCTTCCTTCCTTTTTTCAGACATATAAAGAAAAAATGAAAGCGGATACATTGACACATACAAAGAACAACAAGCAAGTGAAGGAGGCATTTCATCTCCCCATTACGTTTCACATCCTATGAGCCAGAAGAAGAAAAAAGTCTACCGTACAGAACAGACCACCTTTATAATTGGAGAAACACCAAAAGGGATCCGCAGGTATGTCATCTGTAACATTAGACTTGAAGAATAATTCTCAAAAGAAATATAGTTACTTAGTAAAATACACCTATTATTTGAATTTTAATCGTAGCTGGTGTCTGAAGTATCAAATTCAGAAAAATCTGAATTTGTACAGTTTAAAAAATAAATTCCAAATATTTTAGATGTTTTTAGAAAGCTAATCCCTGAATTGATAAATGAAATCACTTGATATAGGTAAATGATATGCTTAAGTGCATTATATTCACTTGCTCATTGGATATTTATTGAACACTTAATATGTACCCAGGCATTGTACTGGGTGCTGAGTATACAGTGTAAAAAAAAGGCATAGTGCTAACAGCACAGTGTAATGGGGGCTGGCATTGAACCACTGTTTTCAAAAGTAAAAATAACTTACAAATAACTGATTATAAAATCATGAATTATAAGAAAGAAGGGAACAGGCCTCCTTGATAGAGAATAATGGGATCGGGAGGGTGCATGTGCCTTTCTATTGGGTAGTCAGGGAAGATCTCGCTACACAGGTGACATTTACATTGTGACTTGAAGGATAACTGAGCAAAGAGCCAGAGGAAGAACGTCCCTGAGGAGGGAAGAGGGTTGGTGTGTTTGAGGAACTGAGACCGAGAATGATGAACCGAGAAGAGATGAACCGAGCATGAGGTGGAGGTAGAGATGCAGATGGGGCTGGAACATAGAGCCTTCTAGATGGTGCGAAAGAGTTTGGATTTTGTTTCAAGTGCAGTGCAAAGCTGGTAAAGCATGACATGGTCTGATGTACGTTTCTAGAAGATTGTTCCAGCTTTTGTGTGGAAGAGGGCAGAGAAGACCCATGAGAACTAGGTGATTATGGTTTGCAGTACAGTGGTTGCCATGGAGACAGAGCCAGATGGATTTGTTTGGCGTTGGACTGGTTGTTGGGAAAGAGGGACGATAGGGTAACTCTTAACTTTCTGTCTTGAGCAACAGATTGGATTTACTGAATGCGGAAAACTAAGAGAGAAACAGTCTGAAGTGTAAAAAACAAATCAAGAGTTCTCTTTTGCTCATGTTGAATTTGAGGTTCTATGGAAATGTCAAATAGGCAGTGGCTCAACTCTGGGATTTGGGAACTGAAGATATAAATTTGGAAGCCATAAGCATAGAGAATATAAATGGTTTTTAGAGCCATGGGACTGTGTGAACTTCCTAGGAACAGGGCACAGAGAGGAGAGGAGAAGCCCCAGGACTGAGCCTGGAGGCGACAGTGGCCTGTTGCATAGGAGGCACAGTGTAAGGTCCCAAAGTCCAAGAGAAGTAAGAGTTTCAGAAAAGAGGGTGCTCCTAACTTTATAAACATTGCTAACAGCCAGACTCAGATGAAGTGGGAAAGTGCCCCGTGTAGTTGGCAGCAGAGAACTCATCAGCTGCCTTGACATGAGCAGTTTGAGTAGGCAGACACCGGGGGTGAGGTGCACAAACAATGAATGGGCAGATCTGCAACAGCTCTTCAAGTTTGGATGTAAAAAGTAGCAGTAGCTGGGAGACCTGAAAGCTGAGAGCTTCTTTGCGCCCCGGGGGGACTGCGCCGGTGTCTAGGCGGTTGTAACCATGCCACAAAATGAATATATTGAGTTACATTCACTCAGCCTGTGTGTGTACTGTGGTAGAAGCTTGAGGTGTGCAGGTGTGGCACTGCTACAGGTAAAAGAAAGGAAACCCTATCTGTAAAGACTCATGTCTGTGAAGCCCCTGGAATCATGCCTGGCACGCGGTAGCAGGGACTTGTGGCTTCTCCTGACCCACATTCAAATGCACTGTAGAAACTTTCCCTCAGTTGAGCTCACAGGGTTATGATAGGAGGAAGTGTCCAGAAAATATGAATCAGGAAATGGTGCTCAGAGATCATTGGTATTGTGTTAAGGGGAGAGGGCGTTCAGAGGACCCAGGATGAGGAGCCATTGCCCAGAAAAAGAAAAAAAAAAGACAGGCAGAAACCTTTTCTCAAGGGACTAAATGGCCAAGTATGAGAGCTGTGAAATATATTTTATATGATGACCCAATATAAGTGTGTTAATACATATATATGATTGAAATAAAATGTTTATTTTATTTACCCTTAAGGCATGCTACATTCTTTGATATTTTCTCTTGTATTGCACTTTTGTCTCTTGTGCATGTACATCTTTTAATGATCTCATAACTCACTAAATTGATTTCATGACCCACTAATAATTGGGAACCACAGTTTGAAAATCACTGTGTTTTTGTTGTTTGGTTGGTTGGTTGGGTTTTTGTTTGTTTGTTTTTGCTACTTGCAGCTGAGTTCTGTTCAGACTTATCAGATGCTACATTTCACTACTGAGGTGCTTGCTACAAAATGAACATGTTGTGCAGCCTGGTGGACTTGACCCATAACTGTTGTCAGCCTGCTGTGCCATCAGCTGTTCAAGGAATTCTCATAAGCAAGTAGATATCACGTCATCTCAGTTCATATACCAGACAGTAGAGTTCAGACATTTCAATAAAAGTGTATCTCTCATAAAATAGAATACCTTTTAAAGTTTTTATAGACATGACCTTCAGTCATAAAATGTTCATACAAATATTAGTTCTATACTCTTCAAATATAATGAAGTGCTATTACAGAGATTTTTATCAGTAATAGTCAAAATGGGAGCAAAAATACAGAGCTGAAGTTTGAAAATTGCTTTCCAACAGTTGTCCGTGAAATGTCTGTCACTATTATCATGCAGGAAGATTGTGCCAAGCAGAGGACAGGGCCCAGTGTGGAAAGGAGCCAGTCAGAAGGTGTCAGAAGGGAGACTGAGGGTTGACTTTCCCTGCATTGGAGCACTGGCAAGATTTGGTTCAACCATTGATGAATCTGGGAACAGACCCTATGAAGGGCGGACAGTAAGAATCCGTCCTACCCAACCCTGCTGTCGGTGTGCCACCAAGTTCTGCCAGCTAAGTAGGTGGCCCCAGGCAAATCCCCGGGCTTCTTTCAGCCTCAGTTTCCCCTTTACATTTGAGATGGACTGTATCAATGGTGTTCAAGTATTTTTTTAAGCAATTGAACTCTAAATTTAAACAAGCTCGGTTAGAGCAATTAAAATAGAGGTCTGTTGGTTGAAGTACCAGCGCTGTGGTTCCGTGGGGCACTAGTTTAAAAACCACAGGGATGAGATCATTACTAAAAAACCTTCCAAATTCAAGTTTTGTGAAGCCAATTGCCACAATCTGTCTTTTGGCTTCTCTTTAAAGCAACAATACAGTTTCTGGCTGCTAGCACTCAACACACAGTTATTAATGTTGGAAACAGGCAAGATATTGAGAGACTTTTGCACTTGAATTTCTTAGGATTCCCTTAAAGCCCTGACACCACTTCTTTCAGTAAAATAACAACATCTGCAAGTGGTGTGGCCCCTAAGGGTTCAAGGCTTTGTTTGCAGAGATGAGTTGGTTACACTGTTTATCAGTCCACAGAAAATGAGAAAGCCAAGGGCAGTGGAGGGTTTTCAGCGTTCAATGTGTGCAGTTTTTAAATTCTGAAGTTATCCTTCCTTTATGATATTCAAATAGCCCTCTTTTAATGAAATAATAGATGGGTTTTTTTAGTCTGTTTCACTGTCCTTACTTGATACAAAAGTTGATAACCATATGTCAGTTCCCAAAAGGTTTTTTGACACTTACTAGTCTATAAAACCCAAAAGAATGGGATCACTGCCTTACTCAAATGTCTTTTTTTACATACAAAGGAGGAAATAGAGCTCCATGGTCGCTTTGTCAGACATCAGTTAACCTTGGGTCTAGGACCCACCCACGGAGGAAGTCAGTGAGCCTGGAAGGTCCTGCGAGATGCCTTGCTTTTCCAGAGCCCATTGTGCAGAGTGCCTGCTTTAGGCGCCTCCCCTAATTCTCCTGTAATCATCGCTGATGTCGTCTAGTTGCCCAGTTCCAGCCCACCTGCTTTGGCAAAGCACTCTCCACCCAGTGCTTCTGGAAGGCTTTATAAAGGGAAGGCTCCTAACCTCAGGAACACCAAATGGCCCTGGTGACCCTGTATTTGCTTTGAGTGACAGCCCCATGCACTGTCCCGCCCCACCCCCACCCCCGCTCGTTTTGTTGTGTTCCGTGTGGTGTGTGTGGCAGGTGAGCAGAACAGCGCACTTTTTCTCTCGTAAAGGGCAACCATGGGTGCAGAGTTTTAAGTATGAAAACAGCCTCTTGGACGTTTACTCGCTGCCCCTCAGGGGAAGATTGAGAATGACCTGCCCTTTTTAACTCGGAGGCTGTGTGGTTCCCAGCCCAGAAGTGGCAAGTCAGAACCTCCTGCAGAGGTTTCTCAACACACAGGTGCCCAGGTCCACCTCCAGCAGGTTCCAGTTCAGAAGGCCTAAGGTTCAGCACGGGCACCCGTTTTTATTTTTTAAGCTTCACAGTAATTCTGATGTGCTAATAATGTTTTGTCTGAGACTTTATCACTGTGTAGGACTGGCCTGCCTGACCTTCACTCTGCTTCAGTGAGCAACCCCCTAGCTCCAACCCCCACCTGTGTGAAAATATGGGACATGCAACTAAGCTCATGCTGGAGCCACTCGGCTTTTTGAGGTTCCAATGTTATGTTCCCATAAAAATGTCCACACATGGTATTGTTTCTCTGATTATACTTTATTAGTATGTACAGTATTTGCTTTGCTGCAGGTTAACAAATTGTGGTGGTTATATTTACCCCTAAATGTCCAAATTTAAGACCAGTCTTAATTATATGAACATGATGCTTTTCTGTCACTGAAGTGTATAATGCTTAACTGACATCTTTCTACAGATGTTTTTTTGGCTACCTAAATGGGCCCCTCCATCTCATTGAAAGAAATAACTGAAACTAAATCTATATTATCGTAGCTTATCTAAACAAGGGGAAAGTGCGCATCTCTTAATTTCTATATGTCTCTAAGGGAACTCTAGTGAGTCACCTGTCAGACTAAAATATGAATTAGTGCCCCTCAAATA